GGGGAGAATGCATTGGGGGTGGGCAACTAGTGATAACCTGTTTCACAAGTTGTCCCAAGGATTAGATACAGTTTTGCAAAGTGTCTGAAATGGTGCTGGCAGCACACAGTAGGTACTTGGTCAATGTCAGTACCAGTGAAGATGACGATGATGATGATGATGACGATGGTTATGATGATTAAAATGATAGTGAATGATCACCTCTCCTCTCCTCTCCTCTCCTGATCATGATCATGAGGATGATGATCAGGAGGATGAGGATGAAGAGAATGGTGAAAATGATGCTGAGGATGATGATCATGATGGTGAGGATGGTGATAATCATGATGGTGATCATAATGGTGAGGATGATGATGGAGATGATGGTGATCTTGATGATGAAGAGGATGGTGATGATGGTGATGATGATGATGGAGATGATGAGGATGTTGATGAAGTTGATGGTGAGAATGATGATGGCATATGAACATACAAATTTTCAGTAGAATAAGACTCTTGATTAACCAGATTTCACCAGGATGACAATAATGGCCAGTAATTACCTTACACTTATGGAGTGCCCCCTATGTGCCTGGTGTTTTGCAGGTATTATCTTCCTAAATCTTCGTGAGTCTCCTAACCTTCATTCAGACACATTCTTTGGGGCTAACTCCACTTCTGGCTCTAGAGAAGGGGCAGATAGCTCAGGCCTGATCTGACCAATGTAGTCTCATCCCCTAGACTGTAATGGATTCAGTGATGACCATGTGAGCTTTGCAAATTGGACCAATGAACCCCAAGGAAGATTTTAGTGGAAGCTTCTAGGAAAGGAGTTTTCTTATCTTCTGTGGGGATTTCCAAAAGTGACGCATGCTTGCCTTCTCGATATAAGGATGTTTCTAGCTTATGTACTGGTTGGCAACCACATTATAATTTGATGTCATGATGAAGCCAATACTGCCTAGAAGTGGAAATGTACAGAGTGCTGTCTCTGTTTGCTTCAGGCTTTGTGTTCTTTGCATCCACATGCACGCCAGCTGGTTCAGGTTGCCAATATTATCAGCCTCATTTTACAGAGGGGAAAAACTGAGGTTCAGGGAGGTCAGGGGTACATAATTAATAAGATGTGAACCTGAGGTTTGCCCCCAGGAAGCTGGATGTTAAACCTTAGAGCATAATCACTCAATTGTACCAAAACAGTGTACTTAATGGTGGAGGTTTCAAGTTCTCAACTCCAAAATAACTCTGTTTTTTATGTCTTTCTTCTGGAGTTCTCTCTTCCAGAATCACTAATATCTTCTATCCCAAGCTAGGCTTCACCCCAGCATCCATACAGACAGCAATGGGGCCTTTAGTCTTGCCTCTGTATTTCCAGAAGTCTAATGAAAGCCCCTGTGTTTTTACAGAGCAAGATGCCATTCCACCTAATTAGAATACAGAGCCTCATTAGATTCCTTGAGCTGGAATCACATCCACTCCATGGAAAACGCTGCTTAGCTCTGGCTAGTGGAAGAGCCGATTGCCTGATGTACATATTTGATTAATAAGAATAATTTCGGTTGGGTACAATAGCCCGTGCCTGTAATACCAGCACTTTGGGAGGCCAAGGTAGGAGGATCGCTTGAGCCCAGGAATTTGAGGCCAGCTTGGTGCAACATGGCAAGACCCTGTCTCTCAAAAAAAAAAAATTAATTAGCCTGGTATGGTGGTACACACCTGTGGTCTCACCTCCTCAGGAGGCTGAGACAGGAGGATTGCTTGAGCTCAGGAGGTTGAGGCTGCAGTGAGCCATGACTTCACTGTACTCCAGCCTGGGCAACAGAGCAAGACCTTGTCTCAGTAATAATAATAATAATATTTTTAAAATAATATATTATTTCTTAATAAATGCAACTTAGTAAACAAAATTTTTGGAAGAACCAAATTCATGAGAACACAACGAAGGGGGCGTTTTCCTCATCCCTCCTGAGTGTGGATGCCACCTCTGATGTCCCTCAGTTCTCAGACCCAGGCTTGTTTGATGATTTCCCCAGGAACTCAAGATATCCCTCTGTGCCAGGTCATCCAAGAACAAGAGTTGAGCAGAAAACACCTTCTGTTCAGCACGAGATGAATGCTGGTGGACCTCTTCCCCAAAATGAAAAAAAAAAAAAAAAAAGGGACATTAATGGGTGACAAAACCAAAATCTTGCTCAGAGATTGTTTAGAAACCAGTGGATGGGAGGTGGTGGTGGCTGAACTTAGAATGGAAGCTCTGCAAGGTTTCTGTCCGAGGCTGCTGGAGAAAGTTGCTGGGAGCCAGTCCAGGTGCTAGAGGAGCAGAGAGAAGGCTCTTTCCAGGTGAACTCCAGTCCAGTAGGAGACAGTGGGGTGAGCTGTCTCCAAAAGGGACAGACATGGGAGGAGCCGGAGAGAAGGTGGCAGGGAAGCTTCATGAAAGGAGACAGGCTCTGTGCTCCGAGAAAAGAAGTGTCAGAAAGCCTCTCCTCAACCTCTGCCTCTCCCTTCCTTCCTGCCTTCCTCCCTCTCCCTCCCTCTTTCTCTCTCCTCTCCCCCTACCTCCTTTTCTTCCCTCTCCCTCCCTCTCTCCCTCCTCCCCTCTCTCTCTATCTCTCCCATCCCTCTCTCTCCTCTCTCCTCTCTTCCTCCATCTCCCTCTCTTTCCTCTATTCCTCCCTCCCGCTCCCTTTCTGCTTTCTCTCCCTCCCTCCCTCCTCTCTGTCTCTCCCCTCCCCTTTCTCATCTCCCCTCTCCCCCTTCCTCCATGAAAGTGGTAAATTCTAACCTAAGCTTTGCTTCTGATAAATCAAGGGTCCAGGTATGGTTGCCAGAAACAGTCAATACAAATATTTATAGGTATTTGTTGTTTATTTGATTTAATTCCGTGAACCTCAGCCCAGGGAGCTCTGACCTGCCACAGACACCTCACCTCCCATTTCCTTGGTCGGTCGCTCCCCAGACACTAGGGGATAGATATGTGTACCTGCTTAGGACAGGACAGAAACGCGAAACAGAACAGACAGCGTGGTGGGGATTCTATTCATTCCGTGCCTCCATAAAAAAAAAACAACAACCAAGATAGGCCCCAAAGAGTATAAAGATAAGGCTTGAACACCATCTTCTGAAGAGACTTCCCGTTGCTAGTGCAGGCTCTCATGACGGTGGTTGTGGACTACCAGCCCTCCCTACTCCATCCCTGGGGCTCCTCACTCTCCTCTCCTCCTCCTCCAGCTTCCTCTCCACCCCCACCCACCTCCCACCCACCAGCACCACAGGTTTTTTTCCACCTTAGTGCCTGGTTTAAAATTGCAGTCCTTCACTGCAAACTCTGCTGACGTCCTGCTAGGGACGCTACCCTTCCAGAATCATTGAGGCTGCATTCTCACAACTGACTTTGCCTGCCCTCCCCAGCAAGACGTGGAAGGAAGATAGAGGTGGTCCCAGCCCTGCAAGCCAGTGCCCCAGGTGAGGCTGCAGGGCACAGCAGAAGGGGCTTGCACTGAAGATAGGCTTTTGTACCCCGTCTTTTTCACGCAGCAGTCACCAAGTGTTCTTTGCAAACTCAATCCTTAATGGTTTACTAGGGCAAGCCCATTTCTTTACCCCATCCCTATTGTTGAGCATTTACATCATTTCCACTTTTATAGGATTTTGATCTTAAATTCTCAAAGGGAAAGAATAATGGAGTCATGATAGGCCAGGCACGGTGGCTCACGCCTATAATCCCAGAACTTTGGGAGGCTGAGGTGGGCAGATCACTTGAGGTCAGGAGCTCAAGACCATCCTGACCAACATGGAGAGACCCCATCTCTGCTAAATACACAATTGGCCGGGCATGGTGGCACATGCCTGTAGTCCTAACTACTCGGGAGGCTGAGGCAGGAGAACCACTTGAACCCAGGAGGCGGAGGTTGCGGTGAGCCGAGATCATGCCATTGCACTCCAGCCTGGGCAACAAGAACAAAACTCCATCCCAAAAGAGAAGAGAAGAGAAGAGGAAGGGAGGGGAGGGGAGTGGAGGGGAGAATGGAGTCATCATAAGTAAGAATTTACAAGCTGTGTGCCCGTTTTACCCTTCATGTATTTTTGTGGCTTGGCATGTTCGGTGATGAACTGTATGATTTTAATCAAAAGATATATTTCAATAGGCCATCAGTAGAAAGTCTATAGTTCTAATCTGAAACAAAAAGGGAAATTGGGGGACAAAGGGGATATCCGAAGCCAGCTGAATAGAAACCATTGACAATACACAGAGCGGGGTGTGGGAGAAAATTATTTTCTTAAATGTTACCTTCTCAAGTGCAACGTTATTGAGGGACAGTGGTACAGAGAGAACATCCAAGAAAAGAGATACCAGCTTGGGCCACAGGCGGCTCTAATCTGTTCTGACTTGACTCTAGATGTCTCTATCCAAGTCCCATATCTCTCTATTAAGGTCCTATTTGTGGTACAAGAGAATGCAAGATGACTCTTCTTAAGGTAGGGGAGACACTGAGGGCAGAGGAAACATGCTGTGGCTTAGTTGAACCAAGAGGGAAGTTGAACTAAGTTGACAATGACTCAAGATAAAAACTGGAATCCTATCAAAGGACAAGACAAGGCTAGAAACAGAAAGATAATCAATGGAGGATCAGTGAGCTCAGGCTCGAAGGGTTCAAGCCAAGATGGCAGGCAGAGTGAGGTGTGGAGGAAGCCTGTGCTTCAGAATGAGTTCGTGGATAGGGAGGGGATCTCAGAGATCCTTCTGAGTGGAGGAGGTGCTGTCCAGGTTGCAGGGATGGATGTGATAGTGAAAGGAGTCTCTCAAGGCTGGCCACCTTTCCCATGGCACTGAGACTCTGTCCGTTTCATCCAGTGGTGGTCTTTCTTTGTCCATCCCTTCACACTATGCTTAAGGTCCTTTCAAATGTCTGACCTGAAATGAACTTGTAGACAAAGTTAACACTGAAGAACCCTGTGACAGACAACTTTGAAAAGAGTTTATGGATGTTTAGCATTTTAATGGAAGTCCTCATTTGTACTCCAGCTACTGGTAATGCTTTCATCCGTGAATGGCTTGCTTGGGTATGGACAGTTGGCTTGACTACAATGTGTGTAGTAAGTTCTAAAGAAGCAAAGGACTCAGACTTCATGCTTGAAGAAATGCAGGCAGACCTGTTATTCCCAAAACTAGGTTTTTAATGACCACACCAAGCAAGCATGCAGTTTACCCCTTGAAAGGGTCTTTCCTCACGCAGGCTGGAGTGCAGTGGCTCTTTGAGGCTTACTACAGCCTCAAACTCCTGGGCTCAGGTGATCCTCAGCCTCCCAGTGGACTTTGTAGACAGGCTAATGGAGTCTCATGGTACAAGAAGATTAAACAGTGTCTCCAATTTCAACAAATTTCTGCAATCCATCTGGAAAAAAAAGATTTTTAAGAGAGCTATCAGTGGTGACCTTGCCCACCTTCCTAACACCACCAGCTTTAGTCTCACTCAACTCTCTCATACACAACTAGAGAACCATTTCCTTAGATTTAGAAAGGAATATCTTCCAGAGAAAGGATCTCCTCCTCACCTCCTCCACCTATTCTGAGTAATAAATCGAGAAGATGAAAACTAAAGAAATTAAAACCACTTTGGCTGAGCACAGTGGCTCATGCTTGTAATCCCAGCACTTTGGGAGGCCAAGGTGGGCAGATCACCTGAGGTCAGAAGTTCGAGACCAGCCTGACTAACATGGTGAAATACTGTCTCTACTAAAAAGGTAAAACTAGCCAGGTGTAGTGGCAGGTGACCATAATCCCAGCTACTCAGGAGGCTGAGGCAGGAGAATTGCTTGAACCCGGGAGGCAGAGGTTGCAGCGAGTGGAGATTGTGCCATTGAACTCCAGGCTGGGCTATAGAGTGTGGCTCCATCTCAAAAGAAAGTTTAAAAAATTTTGTTTTAAATAAAAATAAAGTCACTTTGCTGACAAACTATGACTTGGGAGAGCTAAATGTTTGTGAACAGAAGGGCACAGGGAAATCCATTTGGGGAAATTATTTCCAAAGTTTACTGTCTATTTATGGCCTTAAAATTTTTATTTTCCCAAATTATAGGAAAAGATTGATCATGGTGAGACAAAAACTTCTTTTGGGAAAGTTGTGAAAAATGCATTTGCTCCAACACGAGGCAACAGAGTGTTGTCTAATTTTGCTGGTGTGCAGGTGGAAGATGAGTCAAGGATAAAGAGTGATGGTGATGGTGGTTTATGCTGCTGACACGTAGTCTTAAAGATTATAATCAGCTCACTCGGGAGCCCTCGAGGGAAGAAAGATCCAAAGGTAGAATGAACACACATGATCTATAAATAGGACACATGCTTGAGAAGCAGTGATCTTATCTGGAGGCAGCCCTGCCTCTGTTATTTCATCGATTCTCCACACGTTAATGGTGTTGCTGGAGCTTACTATTAATCTAATGACTGTGCTTTGGAATAATAATGCTTCACTCCTGTCCTGTCTCTCCTATTTGACAGACAGCTTGGATTCATCAGAGAAAGGGCCAAAGAGCTGCATCAGTCATTATTAAATAGAAATCAATAAGGTACGTTACATAAAGGAAGCTGCAAGTGTCTGATATGAGGCAGCGTGTTACCTCTGAGTTTAGAAATCCATTCCTGTTTCTAAGCACCAAAATTCTAGGGGTCTCTGACCCCTGCAAATGTGTGCATAAGCTTTGGCCATTAATGCTGCTAAGAGGGTGTTTTAATCCGTTTTGTGCTGCTGCTACTGCAGAATACCTGAGACTTGAAAATTTATAAAGAATGGAAATCTATCAGCTCATGGTTCTAGAGGCTGGGAAGTCCCAAGATCAAAGGTCTACATCTGATGAGGACTTTCTTGTTGCACCATAACATGGCAGAAGGCATCACATGGCAAAAGAGGATGAGAGAGATGGGGAGAGGAAGGTAAAATTGCTTTCATAAAAAACCCACTCCCATGATAATAACCTTAACTTATTTATGAAGGAGCCCTCATGACATAATCACCTCTTAGAGGTCATACCTCTCAACATTGTTGCATTGAGGATTACGTTTTCAACACATGGACTTCAGGGGACATATTCAATCCATAATGGGTCAGGAATTCATGGGTGGCTTAGCTGGGCGATTCTGGCTCATGTCTCTCATGAGGTTGCAGTCAATATGCCAGCTGGGCTCCATCACCTGAAGACTCAACTGAGCCAGAAGAATCTGCTTCCAAGAAGGCTCCCTCACAAGGCCAGCAAGCTGGAGTGGTTTCTGGCAAGAGACCTCAGTTCCTCACTACATCAGCCCCTCCACAGACTACTTGAGCATCCTCACAACGTGGTGGCTGGCTTCGTCCAGTGGGTGAACCAAGAGAGCAAGGGAGAAACTGCAGTCTTTTATGACCTAGCCTTGGAAGCCACACTCCATCTATTTCACAATACCCTATTGTTAAACAGGTCCATCCTATCTAAAGTGGGAGCAGAGCTATGCAAAGACAGAAATACCATGAGGGGAGGATCCTTGGGTGCCATCTTGGGGGCTGCCACTGTGATTCTCTGTGAGACTTTGCTTGATATTGTGTCCTTCCCTGGCCACCTTCTCTTCCTGGTCCTGCTTCCCTACTTTCCAATTAGTTTTTCCTAGGAGCAATTTCTACCAGGGGATTTTCACTTCCACCTGAATTCTCCCCCAAAGATCTACTTTTAGAGAACACAGCCTAAGACATGCAACATTGATGGGCAGCCCATCCATTCTCTGATTAGCCCTCTGGCTTTCTGCTGGCATGGGAGCACTGCTGTGAGCCTCACCCTCCTTGACTGTGGCCCTGATGTGCTCCTTGGGGACTTGATTCTCTCATTTGTTTCAAAAGACATTGGCTCGGTTCCTATTAGAATAGAGCCACCACCCAGAACCAGTAATACCCTTTACCAAACACTCAGCTTACATCATCCCATTTAAAATAATTTCCAACTCACCCTTTATAGCAGCTACTATTGTCTGTCTTCTATGGGAGAGGAAACTGAGATTTAGACAAATTAAGTAACTTGCACAAGTCTGCATTGCTAGCACCAGAGCCATGACTTGGACCCACGTCTGGAGGGTCCAAAGCTCATGACCTCCACCTCCATTGTATCTTCTTTTTGGTCATTCTCTCCACCTGCTGCCAAGCTGTGTCTGCAGGTCCAACCCCCCAAGGACAGAAACAGAAGGGGAAGAAGCTGATGTTGACCACAATTCCTTGCACGGCCAGCCATCCAGTCCTGCTGTCTCGCCCATTATTCCTGACTTCCTGCCCCTCCATTCCCACAGTGGAAACTCTGGCATCCTTCCATGCTTCCTGACTAATCCGACCTAGAGCTGTGGTCACCCTGGTCAGGGAACATAGATGGAGCAATTAACCCCACCCTTTGCCACATTGCCACCTGGGTTCAGGAAGTCAACATCCCTCATGCCACCAGTCTCCTGGTCTGGCTGAGGCAGATGGAAAGGTCTCTTCTTGGTCAAAAGATTTTGCTCTCCTGAAAATGTGCTTGAGCCTAAGCAGGTTGGCACTTGGGATTTTTCTTTGAGGACAAGGTCTGAGGGAAGGGGAGACAGGATAGCGCAGGAGCTGCTTCAGGGGGTTGTCGGGGAGTAAGCCAAGCCCTCTCCAGTAGGGCAAGTCCAGGCCCTCAGGGGGAGATTAGGGCTTAGAGAAACCAGTTCTGGGGCTATGGAACCTTCTTGCTTGTAAAACACAATGGCTCCTAGGGCAGCACACTAATTAGCCAGTTGTTCTGCATAAATTTGCCTCTTAAATTCAAGAGACTCACATGCCTTGAACGTGTCATAAAGCAAGGTTCAATTTTAGAGTTAAACTCCCAGAAAGGAATAGAACATTCCAACTTCTCTCATTCTCCCTCCCAGTCATTGCCCTTCTGCCTCTCAATTTCTAATACCATGCATGAGTCAAGCAGGGGTCATGTGTGTGTGGTTTTCTAATTGAACTACAATTAACACTATCCAATGCACGGATTTTAGGCATTCTGTTTAGTGAGTTCTGATCATTGCATCCTCCCAGGTAGTCTAAACAAAACACCCAAACAAAACACAGACCAGCTCTGTCTGATAGCAATGGAGCAAGACCCATACATGTAATTTTAAAGTTTCTAGAAGCCACATTTGGAAAAGTAAAAAGAAACAGGTGAAAATTACGTTAATACTATGTTTTTAACCCAGTGTATTTAAAACATCATTTCAATACGAAAAGATCATAATAAATTTTTCTCTATTTTGGTAACAAGTTTTTGAAACTTTGTACATGTTTTATACTTACAGCACATCTCAATTTGGAGGCTAATTTTTTAAAAAATTTTATTGCATTTTAGGTTTTAGGGTACATGTGAAGAACATGTGAGATTGTTGCATAGGTACACACATGGCAGTGTGGTTTGCTGCCTTCCTCCCCATCACCTATATCTGGCATTTTCCCCCATGTTGTCCCTCCTCAACTCCCCACCCTCCACTGTCCCTCCCCATTTCCCCCTGACAGACCCTAGCGTGTGATGCTTTCCTCCCTGTGTCCATGTGTTCTCATTGTTCAACACCTGCCTATGAGTGAGAACATGCAGTGTTTGATTTTCTGTTCTTGTGTCAGTTTACTGAGAATGATGGTTTCCAGGTTCATCCATGTCCCTACAAAGGACACAAACTCATTGTTTTTTTGATGGCTGCATAATATTCCATGGTGTATATGTGCCACATTTTCCCTGTCCAGTCTATCTTCGATGGGCATTTGGGTTGGTTCCAAGTCTTTGCTATTGTAAGCAGTGCCACAATTAACATTGGTGTGCATGTGTCCTTACAATAGAACGATTTATAATCCTTTAGATATATACCCAGTAATGGAATTGCTGGATCAAATTTCTAGAATTTCTATTTCTATGTCCTTGAGGGATCACCACACTGTCTTCCATAATGGTTGAACTAATTTACACTCCCACCAACACTGTAAAAGTGTTCCTATTTCTCCACATCCTCTCCAACATCTGTTGTCTCCAGATTTTTTAATGATTGCCATTCTAACTGGCATGAGATGGTATCTTAATGTAGTTTTTATTTGCATTTCTCTAATGACCAGTGATGATGAGCGTTTTTTCATATGTTTATTAGCCTCATATATGTCTTCTTTTGAAAAGTGTTCATATCCTTCACCCACTTTTGAATGGGCTTGTTTGTATTTTTTTGTAAATCTGTTTTAGTTCTTTGTAGATTCTGGATATTAGCCCTTTGTCAGATAGGTAGATTGCAAAAATGTTTTCCCATTCTGTTGGTTGCTGATTCACTCTAAGGACTGTTTCTTTTGCTGTGCAGAAGCTGTGGAGTTTGATTAGGTCCCATTTGTCTGTTTTGGCTTTTGTTGCCA